GATCAAATGTGTTTTAGTTCTTCTATAGTTATATTAATAAATTAAAATATATACTACTTGTCCTAATTTTATTAATTTGAAGGAAAATCTATTAACATCCTTCAATAAAATATAGAAGAACTATCTCCCTGACACTGTGCTTTTAAATCCCCATCCTCCTCTCAAATTTATTGGTCACCATTCAGCAATTTGAAACTCCAAGTAATGTTACTTTGGCAAGATACTCATCAATTACAAGGCCCAAGGACCCTCACCTTGCCCTTGTTCTTGACAGTTTAAATCTCATTTGTGCTTTTTTTACAGTAAGATTATAATTTGGAGAAGGAATGGAATAAGTGAACTATTATAATTTTTAATTATGGTAAAATGCACATAACATGACATTTACCACCTTCATGCTGCTAGTAAAGACATACCCAAGACTGGTTAATTTATAAAGAAAAAGAGGTTTAATGGATTCACAGTTCCACATGTCTGAGGAGGCCTCACAATCATGGCAGAAAGCAAAGGAGGAGCCAAGTCATGTCTTCCATGGTGACAGGCAAGAGGGTGTGTGGAGGGGAACTCCCCTTTATAAAATGATCAGATTTCATGAGAGTTATTCACAATCATGAGAATAGCATGGTAAAATCCCACCCCCATGATTTAATTACCTCCCACCAATCCCCTCTTATGACACATGGAAATCATGGGAGCTATAATTTAAGATGAGGTTTGGGTGGGGACACAGCCAAACCATATCACCACCTTAATCATTTTTAAGTGTACAGTTCAGTGGTATTGACTACATTAATATTGTGCAACCAGCACTACCAGCCATCTTCAGAGCTCATCTTACAGAACTGAAATCCTGTACTCATTAAACACAAACTGTCCATTCCCTTTCCCTCTAGCCCCTAGAAACCACCATTCTACTTTCTGTCTCTATAAATTTGAGCACTCTGGTACCTCATATAACTAGAGTCATACAGTGGTTCTGTTTCTGACTGGCCAATTTCACTTAGCATAGTGCCCTCAAGGTTCATCCATATTTGTGGCATGCATCAGAATTTCCTTCCTTTCTAAGGCTGAATAATAATACATCATAGACATATACCACATTTTGTTTATCCATTCGTCCATCAATGGACGTTTAGGTTACTTTCACCTTTTGGCTATTGTGAATAATGTTAATATGAATGCAGGTGTACAACTATCTCCTCAAGATCCTATTTTCAATTCTTTGGGGTATATACCCAGAGATGGACTTGCTGGATCATATAGAAAACATTTGTAATTTTTTGATGAATCACCATACTGTTTCCCATAACAGCTGTACCATTTTACACTCACACCAACAGTGAAAGAGAGTTCTAACTTCTCCACGTGCTAGCCCACGCTTATTATTTTCTGTTAAGTTTTGTTTGTTTTGCTTGTTTGTTTGGAATAGCAGCCATTCCTTATGAGTATGAGGTGCTATCTCATTGTGGTTTTGATTTCCATTTCCCTGTTAGTCATGTTGAACATCTTTTCATATGCTTGCTGGACATGAATGTCTTCTTTAAAGAAATATCTATTCAAGTGTTTTGCCCATTTTTGAATCGGGTTACTTTTTGTTACTTACTTTATATATTCTAGATATTAACCTAATGAGATAGATGATTTGCAAATAGTTTCTTCCATTCTGTGGGTTGCCTTTGCTCCTTTGCACTCTGTTGAATGTTCTTTGATGAACAGTTTTTAATTTTGGTGTAGTTTATCTACTTTTTTTCTTTTGTTGCCTGTACTTTTGGTGTCTTATTTAAGAAATCATTGCCAAATTCAATGTTGTAATGTTTTTCTCCTGTTTTCTTTTAAAAGATTTATAGTTCTAGGTCTTACATTTAGAATTTGGATCCAATTTTAGTTAATTTTTGCATATGGTGTAAGGGAAGAATCAAACTTTGTTCTTTTGCATGTGGATATTCAGTACCCCCATCACCACCCTCATTTGTTAAAAAAGACTGTCCTTTACCCCATTGAATGGTCTTGGCACACTTGTCCCTCCCTTCCACTCTATTGGTTTATATATCTATCATTATGCCACTCTGTTTTGAATACTAGAGCTTTGTAATAACTTTTGATAACAGAACGTGGGAGACCTCATACTTTGTTCTTATTTTTCAAGATTATTTTGTTTATCCAGATCCTATAAGATTCTATATTAATTTTAGGATAGGTTTTTCTTCCCTTTGTCTTTTCACTTTATTTATCCATCCATGTTGCTGCAAATGGTATGATTTTATTCTTTTTTATGTCTAGATAGTATTCCATTGTGTGTGTGTGTGTGTGTGTGCTTGTACACATACCACATTCTATCTATTCATTCATTGGTGGACATTTAGGTTGACCCCATACCTTTGCTACTATGAATAGTGCTGCAATAAACATGCAAGTGCAAGTATGTCTTTGACATTCTGATTTCTTTTTCTTTGGATAAATATTTGGTAGTGGGATTATTGGATCATATGGTAATTCCATTTTTAGTTTTTTGGGGAAAAAAAAAAAACTCCATACAGTTTTTCATTGTGGCTGCACTAATTTACATTCATACCAACAGTGTGTAAGAGTTTCCTTTTCTCTGCATCATCCCCAGCATCTGTTTTTTTGTTTTGTTTCGTTTTGTTGTCTTTTTAGTAATAGCCATTGTAACTAGAGTAAGATAGTATTTCACTATGGTTTTGATTTGTACTTCCCCAATGATTAGTCATGATGACCATTGCTTATACCTGTTGGTCATTTTTATGTCTTCTTTTGAGAAATGTCTGTGCATGTCCTTTGCCAACTTTTAATGGAATTCTTTGGGGTTTCTTTTTTAAATGTTGAGTTGTTTGAGTTCTTGTATAGTCTGGATATTAGTCCCTAGTTGGATGAGTCGTTTGCAAATATTTTCTCTCACCCAACAGGTTGTCTCTATGTCTGCCAAAATGTTTTGGGGTTTTGATATGGATTGCATTGAATCTGTAGACTACTCTAGGGTAGTATCAATCACCTTAACAGTAATACGTCTTCCAATCCATGAACACAGGATGATTTCCTGTTTATTTGTTTTCAGTTGTATTTTTCAGTCTATATGCCTTTCATCTCCATGGCTAAGTTAATTAATAAGTATCTTATTATACTTGACGCTGTTTTAAATGGAATTTGTTTTCTTAATTTCTTTTTGAGGTTGTTCATTGCCAGTGTATAAAAACCAAAATAATTTTGATGTGCTGATTTTGTATCCTGCAACCTTGCTGAATTCATTTAGTAGTTCTAACAGGTTTGTGTGTATGTGTGTTAATCTTCAGGGTTTTCTACATATATGATTATGTCATCAGCAAAGAGAGATAACAATTGAATGTCTTTTATTTTACTTTCTTGCCTAATGCTCTGATTAGGACTTCAAGTACTGTGCTGAATATAAATAGTGACAGTGGATATTATTATCTTGTTCATAATCTTAAAGGAAAAGATTTCGATCTTTCAACAGTGAGGATATTAGTTATGGGCTTTTCATATTTTTTTATTATTATGTTGATGTAGTTTCCTCTTATTGCTAGTTTGTTGAGTGTTATTATCATGAAAAGTGTGTTAATTTTGTCGATGTTTCTTCTGCATCAATTGAGATAATTATGTGAGTTTTTTCTTCATTCTGTTAGTATGGTACATTGATCAATATTCATATTCTGAACATAGGTTTTGAAACCTTTTAATTTCCTGTTGAATTTGGTTTGCTAGTATATTGTTGAGGACTTTTGGATCAATATTCATCAGGGATATTACAACGTTTTTGTCTGCCTTTGACCTCAGGGTAATGTTGGTCTCATAGAATAAATTTGAAAGTGTTTCCTACTTTTGTGTTTCTTGGAAGAGTTTGAAGGGGACGGATGTTAATTTTTTTTAATATTTGTGAGAATTCACCAGTAAAGTCATACATGCCTTGGTTTTTCTTTGTGGAGAAGTTTTAGGTTATTAATTCAATCTCCTTAATAGTTATAAACTGTTGAGATTTTTGTTGTTGTTTCTTCAAGATTCAGACTTGATGAGTTGTTTTTTCTAGGAATGTTTCCATTTTACCTAGGTTATAGGTTCATAGTATTCACAATTATTTTCATTTCCATAAAATTGGTTGGAATGTTTCTGCTTTCATTTCTGATTTTAGCTATTTATTAATATTTATTAATATTGTAGCACTGTCAATTTCTCCCTTCAATTCTGTCTGCTTTTTATTTCTGTATTTAGGAGCTCTGATATTTGATTCATATATGTTTATGATTATTATATCTTTATGATGAATTGACCTTTTTATCATTCTATGATGTCCTTCTTTGTCTCTCGTAACAGTTTCTGATTTAAAGTCTATTTTGTATAATATTAGTATAGCCATCTCTGCTCCTTTATGGCCACTGTTTGCTCAGAATATTTCTTTTTATCTTTCACTTCCAACTATATGCTTTTGTACATAGTATAGAGTTGGGTAGTTTACTTTTTTATCCGTCTTGCCAATCTATCAATCTATGTCTTTTGAATGGGGAATTTAATCCATTTACATGATTTGAAAGTAATTACTGACATGAAAGTGTTTACTATTACCATTTTGTTATTTGCTATTTGTATGTCTGGTGGCTTTGTTAGCCTTCTTTTCCTCCCTTACTGATTTCTTTTGTGTTTGATTGCATTTTTATAATGACATGTCTTGATTTTCTTCTCATTTCGTTTTGTGTATAATCTATAGATTATAGATATAGAAAATATAATGTCCTAAAGCTTTAATAATCTATTTTAAAATAAGGACAACTTTAACCAAATACCAAAAAAAAAGATACTCCTTTAGTGCTCTGCCTATCCCCCACTTTATGTTGTTTGTTGATGTTACAAAGTAAACCTTTATATATTGTGTCTTCATTAACATAGATTTATAATTTTTTATTTTGTCTTTCAAATCCTGTAATACAATAAAAGATGGAGTTACAGATCATAATTACAATAATTTTTTTAAAGGCAATCAGTTATTTAATTAGGTTCTTAAGACATTCAGAACACCAATTTGTGAGGATAAACTCCATTCATCAGGGCAAACACAAATCACAGGTAGCCCTGGAGCTGAGGAATAGTTTTGATTTTTGGTAAAATTTGTGAGTCCCCAGATTTCTGATCAATCTTGCACTGCTCTGTAATCTCATATTTCTCTTTTTCTGTGTTGAAGATCTCACCTTCCTGGTGTCTAGGCTGCCACAGCTGCTTCTTCTTGAAGTAAGCATCAGTAAGATGTTTTGGGATTTTTACATTGCTCATGTCAATTTTGGTTGAGGTGACAATAACAGATTTCTGGTGTGTTCTTCATAGAGGATCTTGGTTGAGGACCAGAGTTCCAGTCACAAATAACAAGCCACTAGCCAGCTGCTTCAGGAAAACCACCCTCTCGCCCCTGTGGCGTCCAGTGAACATGATCACAATGGTCCCGGGGTAATGCTGGGTTACAGTTTTCTCACATGCTGGCTGAAGTGTTTCTTTGCCATGGCTCAACAGCTTTTGAGGCACATCTTCAGTAAGATAATATCTGGGCATTTTGCGAAGTTTAACCACCCGGGTACCACCGTTTTTGTCACTACCAACTGGTTTTGTAACAGTTGCAAGAATCTTCTCCTTCTTTTTCTTTTCAACCTTGGATTTAGCAGCTGAGTACTTCCTCTTATACATGGCCTTTCTGGAATACATAGCAGATCAGGAATACTTGCCAATTCCCCCATTCTGGCTACAATGGGGCTTCCCCTTCTTGGGCTTTTTAGCCTTGAGGTTACCCTTTTTCACCTTGCCACCATCATCAGCCTTCTTGGCTTCAGGTTTCTTCTCTTTAGTATCCGGCTTCTCAACTTTTTCACCCACCATCTTGCAAGATGGGAAAGAGCAGGAACAGTTTTTAAATTGTCGATGTGTTCACCTTTACTGGGGAACTTTATATTTTCTTTGGTTTTGAGCTTCTGTCTAGTGTCCTTTCATTCCAAATTGAAGAACTTTGTTTAGCATTTCTTGTAGGCAGACATAATGGCATTTCACCCTTTCCATTATTGTTTATCTGGAAATGTCTTAATTTGTTCTCATTCTTGAAGGAGTTTTGCCAACTACCAAATTTTCAGTGGACAGGAATTTTTTTCCAGCACTTTAAATATTTCGTTCCACCACTTTAAGGCCTGTAAGTTTTCTGGGGAGAAATCTTCCTATAGTCTTATTTAGGATCCTGTGTACATGAAAAGTTGCTTATCTCTTGTTGCTTTCAAGATTCTTTGTCTCTCACTTTCCAGTTTCATTTTAATGTGTCTTAGTGTGGGTCCCTTTGGGTTTGGTCTAGAATGTATTGAGCCTCTTGAAAGATATTTCCATGTTTTTCCTCAAATTTGAGATTCTTTTTCAGCTATTATTTTTTCAAATAAACTTTCTTCCCCTCTCTCTCTCTCTTCTCCTTCGAGGACTCAAGTAATATGATATTGGTCCACTTACTGTTATTCCATAAGTCTCTTAGGCTCTGTTTATTTTTATTCATACTTTTCTTTTATGGTCCTCAGACTTCATAATTTCAAATGATCTAGCTTCATGTCTGCTGATTCTTTTTTCTGTCTAGTCAAGTCTGCTGTTGAAGTCCTCATGAATTTTTAAATTTAGTTATTGTACTTTCAGGTCAAGAATTTATGTTTGGTTCTTTTTCATAATTTGTATATGTTTTTTAAAATCTTCATTGTTTCATATATTATTTTCCTGACTTTCTGTAGTTTGCTGCCCTTGTACTTCTTTTATCTCATTGAGCATATTTCAGACAGTTGTTTTTGAATCTTTGTCAAGTAAGTCTGAAGCCTTTCTTTCAGGTCAGTTTTGGGATATTTACTTGGCTAATTTGAAGAGGCCATGTTTCTCTGTTTCTTTATATGCCTTACAATCTTCTGTTGAAAATTCGGTGTTTGAATAAAATAGCCACCACAGGTAGTCTTTGGAAACTGGCTCCATGCAGGGGAAGACTTTCACAAATTGACCCAGTGTAAAAGCTTAAAGTTTCCTCAGGCCTTTTCTTGGAATTCACGTTTCCTAGTCCTATGCATGTGCTTTTTATCCAATTCCCTTGCTTTTACAATCCATAAGAGTCTAACCTCTGCTCTTTCTCAGGGCCTTAGATATTCTACTCTTTTTCTCTGCCTCTAATCTATTGTCCTAGGCACCAATGGGTCTGCAGTTATTCCGAAGCCCTCTCACGCCATTGTGACTAACACTGTTTTTAGCAACCTTCAACTTGATGTCCAAACTTTGCCATTATTTCTGTCAATGTTCCAAGTCAGGCAAGATAGAAACAAGTCCCTTGGGCAGCCCCCTATACAAACCAGAATGTTGCAAACAAGGTTTACTCTTTTTATTTTTCATCCTGAAAGAATAATCAGTCATTGGATGGCTTTTCTTCCTTGCCACATCAGGGAAACAGTAGGTAAAATCTTACGAAAAAAAAAACATAAAATTCCTACTATTTTGACTGTGGACTTTTCTTGGTTGGGCACTTGTTAGATTGCTGTAGATCCTTAATGGTTTTCTAGAGTTCTCACAAAGCTACTTTGATTGGTATGTTGTTGTTTACTTGACATTTCTGAGGGAGTTGGAGAGTGTGGAGCTTCCTAGTTTGCCATTTCCACATTCATTCTTTACAAAAACATATATTGGGTGACATACCTCCATAAATTCAATAAATTAGTCAATGTCTTCCTATTAAAGTAAGGTCCTAGCTCCTTGGCCTTCAGGCATTACATAATTTATCTCATGCTTTTGTTTTGCTCTCCAACTGCAATTTGCTCCATTCTTTCCCTTCTCACTAAGCTCCAACCATAACAATCTTTTAGTTCTAAGAAAGCTCAAGTTTGTTCTGTCTTGGGGCCTTTGCATGTACTCTGACTTGTATCTAGAATACCTTTTCTTCTCTCTCTGCATTGCTATGCCTTTTTTGTCCCTCTAGAGTTATGAGATCCCTCCTCAGGAGTGTTGTCGCTGACCTTTCAGATTAAGGTAGTCACATTGTTATATGCAACAGGGAACCAGAATTTTTGTTGTTCATATCACTATTTCAACTGTAAATATATAATTTTTCATTATATAATATATATATAATTTTTCAATATATAATTTTTCATTATATATTTACAGTTGAAATAGTGATATGAAGAACAAAAAGGGTATTCATTCAATATCAACCTCCCCTACAAGCTGCTAAACCCTTTAGCATAGAGAAAACATTTGCTATTAATTGCTGTATCTACAGTACCTATTGCAAATCCTTGGACACAGTAGGCACTTAAAAAAAACTATTTTTGATTGTTTCTTTAATGAATTATTGAAGCTTTCCATTTGTACATTTGCCTTGTTTTATTTGCTTTCCTCTTTAGTCTTATAGAAATTCTGCTGCATATGGTTTTCTTTCAGCTTTTAGTACTTACACACTAGACTAGACTCTCCCGATGTCTTTCCATAGTACCTGGGGCTGACCCAGGGAAACATTATGAGAGTAGCAAAGCTTTCTCCTTTCAGTGTTCTTTGTCTACCGTAATCATTTCCTTTCACTTCAGGTAGCCAGTGCTCTCATTCTGGGAAAAAGTATTTACTAAATTCTGGATTTACTTCATCAAGAGGCTCTTTTAGGAGGAGGCAGTGCATAAGCATACCATGGAATTGCCTGCATCAATGACAGGCATGGAAGAAAAGTAATTTTACAGGGGGAATCTCCACAACCCTAAAGTAAAGATGCAAAGTTCCTCCTAGTCCATCTCACTTCTTTTTTCATTCGTTCATTCATTGCAATGTATTGAGTACCTACATAAACTGTTAATGCAGACACTAGCAGTAGTACAAAGGTTAATAAGATTTTATCCCATTCTTTAAATTCAGTCTAGTAAAAGACATAAATATTTGAATATACAATTATAACATGTTACCAATTATTAATTCATTTAAAAAACATTTATTGAGAGTTTCCTACGTGTCAGGACCTATACCAGGTATTGGGGAAACAAAGATGTAAAGAACTATCTTTCCTCTCAAATTAAATACAATATAAAGGCAAATACGCTTGCAAGCAATTATTGTTAAAAATCCGCGGCCAAGATCTCAGAGAAGTGGAAAATAATTGCCTCATATAATTCTTTCTCCAACTCAGCTAATAAAGGCAATTTCTATTCTTAGGAATATTTTTCTGTTGAAAATATAATGGCAGAGACAGACTTCTTTTTCCAGAAGGAAACATAGCGTAATATAAGAAGAAAATTATAATAAAGGGAGACAAAAGACCTATAAAATCAAGGAAAGAAATGTCAAGAGGATAAAAAGTTAGAGTAAAAGCACACTTAAATTCTTAATAAGGCCAAATGGGAACCAATTAAAAACAATAATACTTTCTCAATTCAGTCCAGAGCTAAAGAGCTGATAGGGATCTTGTTTGGTCTCTGCTTCAATTCCCTGCCTCTAGGAATTTCAACTATCCTAGGTAGTGACTGTGATGTTCCCACCTGTAACCCCTAGTTACGATGTATTCACATTCTTTATAATTCATTACTTCTTCTGAGGCTTCTCAGAGGCAGTGTCTGGTATGGAATTTAGTAGCACACTTACAGCACAACATACACTAAACAAAACATAACCCCTTAATCTTCAATATGAAACGGCGAAGAAAGAGTGTGAGCAGCTGAAACATAGTGAAGTAGCTTAACCTATGTTTTGGTATTTTGATGAAGTGACACTTAGTGAGTGTTAGAATTTGTCTGTGCTAAGCATCCAATAATAAAGTATGTGTTATTTAAGGTCCCTCTCAGAGCTGATAGTCTATGAATCTATATATTCTAATATTTTATTTGACTTTACAAGGGGAAGGTCAAATAAAATGACAATTTTTGTGGATACAGTGATGCTCTGCCCAGATCCTACCTCAGAGCCCGTCCATCCACCTCTCAGCTTTTTAATATCAAGGGGTTTCTGTGCATGGAAAACATCATCCTTTGCTGTATTTTTTGAATGTTCTATTTATTAACTTATTGCCAGTAAAATTTCCAGTGAATTTTTCTTTGATATTTTAACACTTATTATAAACTTAACTAATTAAATATGTTTAATTAGTTTTAACTAATTAAATATGTTTAATTAGTTTTAACTAATTAAAACTTAACTAATTAAACAGTTTAGAATAGACTTATTGATTTAGAATGAATTTAATGATTCCTTTGAATGTCTCAAACACCTTCATTAGTAGACAAAATATACAAAAATACAATGTTTTGAGAATATATTGCTATATCCAGACTTAAGCTTGTTCTAGAAGATTAATAATACGTGTTTAACTTTTTAAAATTACTTCTATATATCTTCACAGATTTCTAGTGTTATGGTAATGTTAATTTTGGTGCCATCGCAGAGTTACAGGATTCTTATCAAATCAAAAGGATAAAGAACACAAGCTCAGAAATCCATGATTATAGAATCTGTGTTACGAACCAATTGATCATGAGACTTGATTGTTAATTTCAAGAAGATTTTTAAAGATGAGGCAGTCTTTTATTGTCATAGTTACAACAATAATTCTTAAAACTATTATTTCAACTAGATGTTAGCTCTTTATAACTGATGGCTACTCCCAAAATGATGTACCCAAAAGGTTCACTTGCTTGCTGTTCAAATTAAGCAGCATTCAAATGTATTAGTCTGTTCTCATGCTGTTAGTAAAGACATGCCTGAGGCAAGATAATTTATAAAGAAAAGAGGTTTAATGGACTCACAGTTCCATATGGCTGGGGAAGCCTCACAATTATAGCAGAAGATGATGGAGAAACAAAAGGATGTCTTACCTGGCAGCAAGCAAGAAGACATATCAGGGCAAGTTCCCTTATACAACAATCAGATCTCATGAGACTTATTCACTATCATGAGAACAGCACGGGAAAAACCCAACCCCATGATTCAATCACTTCCCTCCAGGTCCCTCCCAGAACACATGGGGATTATTAAAATTCAAGGTGAGATTTGGGTGAGGACACAAAGCCAAATCATATTACGTATATTCAGAATTCTCCTGTTATGTGGAGTTTCACTTTTTGTGGCTTCAGTTACCCATAGCCAAGTTACCCATAGCCAACTACAGTACAAGAATATTAAGTGCAAAATTCCAGAAATAAACAACTCATAAGTTTAAACTGCATGTCACTCTAAGTAGCATGATGAAATCTCACGCCATCCTGCTGCATCCTGCCCAGGTTGTGAATCCTCCTTTTGCCCAGTACACTCTCTGCCCATGAGTCACTTATGAACCATCTCAGTTATCAGATCAGCTGTTGCATTAGCACTATGCTTCTCTTAAAGTCACTCTTATTTCACTTAATAGTAGCCTCAAAGTACAAGAGTAGTGATGCTGATAAT